AGCTGTTTACGCTCATTATCAGTGAGACTGTAAAAGTAAAATTTACAGATTTTAGCAAACAATTTGAAAATCAATAACTCCTTGTTTGCCAAGATGTAAGTTCAGGGTTTAGGGCTGCTTCTGGTGCAGCTGATGAAACCACAAATACTTTCAAGCTCTGTCAGGAATGTTGGCAGTTCCCTTCATAGTTGAAATGCTACCATCAATTTAAGGCATTTTTGGTAGATAAAAGCATATTTAACCAAAACACCTTTTGATTTGTAATGTTTTCTTTCTTTCTTTCCATTGCTGGTTGACAAAGTATTTTGTGTAAATTAAAATTATCTGATGCAATACCACTTGCTGTCTTCTGTAGGACAGTATAGTTCATTATTTCTAACATCATAACTATTTCCATGGTAGTGTATGTTGGTATCACAAATATATTATGAAATCACTAAAATAATCAGATAGAGATGATTTTTTTAAAAAGGAACCAGCATCATATCTTTAGCTGAGAATACCCACATTTACATACCATATTATTATACAGCATAAGAGTTTACACAGGTTTTGATAAAATGTTATACATATAAAGGTTACAAAGTGTTAGCAGTTCTCTAGAATCAAATGTGTACTAGAAGGATGGTGTTTTGCATAACCCTTGTTCAACTGGTCTCCACATATGTAAAAAGCTGCAACATTTTTGCTGGCTTTCTCTGTGAGAACTACTGAAACCCAGAATCCAGATCTATCTCTAAGAGTCATTTGGGCCCAAATCCAGAAAACACTTAAGAATGAATGATGCTTAAATTTAAATATGTGAGCGATCTCATTGAATTAATGTTCTTAAAACTAACCACAGGGCTAAGTGCATAGCTGGATTGGTCCCTTGAAAATCTGTACTCTAAAGAACAGGTACTGAAAATACCGCAGCAGTAAAACCTGGCCCACCCGTTCAATGTGCCTTAGTCAAGTCATGAATGGAACCATTGTCTGCAACGATGAGAAGTTGTTTCAGTGTTCTTAATAATCTTATCCTTGGCCTGTTGGCTGGGGAACCGCCAGATTCTCTGGGTCCCTGGGCAAGGTGGGAACAGTGGGTTCGCACTCCTGGGACAGATGGGAGATCTCGAGCGAAAGGGGCATGTCTGGGGCAGCCATCCCTCAGTGCTATCCAGAGTGCACCATGCTCCCTCCAGCTCTCAGTGCATGCCACCAGGAGCTCTGGACTATGCTGCCCAGAGCTACAGTGGTGATTTAAATGGCTCCAGGGCAACTGCCTCTTTTGTTCCCACTTCTTCTCCTTTGGTGGGCCTCCCTGTTACATAAGAACGGCTGTACTGGGTCAGACCAAAGGTCCATCTAGCCCAGTATCCTGTCTACCGACAGTGGCCAATACCAGGTGCCCCAGAGAGGGTGG